AAGAGTGTCTATCTATAAAATTTATCTCAATTTTAGTCTATATGAGATACTACTACCAAGATATTTACTAATTAATTTTTTAAAATTTAATATATAATATTTATTGAATGTAAAAATTAATTTGTCAAAATTTAATCTATAAAAAAGTATTGAATTTAATAACTCAAGCAAAAATTACTCCCATTCCTATATATTTACATAAGATGAAAGCAGTACAACCAAAGTAAGAACATCCTACCATTCTTTGACAATATAACAAGTCTTAACAATCCACAACCAGAGAAATCATATTGACCGCTGTTTCCAGATATCACTATAAAAGATTCTAATTGGAGAAATTATGCGAAGAGAATATTTCCTATAATTTCCTGTATCCAACGCAGGAGACTCTGAGTAAAAAATGGAATAAACCCAGAAAACGAAACAATCAAACGCAGGTTGCTACCATATTAAACTCATGACTATGTAACCATGCTTCTCAAACACTACACAGTATATTTGAACTCCTACGTATTTATTATTCAATGGGAGGGTTGAAAACCAAATCCTGTATCAAAGAAAGACAGAATTGCTCTAAGTATCATATTCATAAGGGTAAGGTATCTTCTCAAAGATCTAGAGATAGATGAGATATTGAGAATGATTGGGAGATACCTGGTCGCACACAGGGCAAGTTTCACTTCTTTCCATCCATTCCAGAATGCATGCAAGGTGAAAATGATGATCACATTTTGTTGCGAGTTTTGGATTCTCTGCATCATACTCTGCTAGGATAAAAAGACGTAAATCCATCATCAATCCTCAATATTAACCAAAAACAGAATAACTGTTGCACAATAATTAGCTTAAAATTAATACCATCAGCTAGAGGGATTAAATAAAGAAGCGAAGACAACATCACCTTCTAAACAAATTGGGCACGTATCCTCCTCTTCTAAATTTATAGGTTTTCCCGATTTTGCGAGTTCAATTTCGGAACCCTTTGCAGAATCTAGCTCTAGATCAGTCTGAACTTTGCACTCTGATTCCTTCAGCTCTTCCAACTTAGCTGAGGTCCCATGATTATCTCCAGCAACTGGGTCTTGAATTACATTTAAATTTGTAGAAGGCAAGGATGTATTATTCTTGTCGCTACGAATTTCTTGAGCCGCAGGTGGAGTTTGAGTGGTACCTAAGGTAACATTGAAAGGGATAGGAGCAGGAGGAGGTCTATAAGTATCGGGAGATGAAGTATCTAGATTAGTATCAACCAAGAGCCGCCCAGAGAAAGCAGAAGGAACACCCTGGTGAGACGATAGAGGAACATGCTCCTCAGATGCTCTTGGATACTGCTGAGAGAATGCAGCAAAGGAAACAGTGTTATAACATATTGACATCACAACCATAGATAATAAACAGTGAAAAGCAATTATAAACTCATAGTTATCACAAGCAGACTTCAAAATCTCATCGAACAAAACATAAAAAAAGCTCCACCATATATATTCTGATTGTTTTTAACAAGAGCAAAATAGGTTGATGCCCCTTTATAAATACATCAAACTAGTCTGTCAATGTTATGCCATCAGGTCCTCAAATGACATCATATTAGTTCCCTGAAAGACGAAGCTGATGACATTCGCTGGAGTTTCTTTCTAACAAATGGAGAACCGTAATTCCCACATGGACACACTTCATTGACAATACACTTGATCCTTCCCTCAGTAGGTAGCAAACAAGACACAAACATCTTCCATTCCAAGTCTAAAAATCACACACTTATATACTCCAACAACAAAAGCTCTCCTTTGGGGGTTTGTTGAAGAGAAAGCACTAAACAGTATTACTAATTGAAAAATTTTCTAACCTAACCAAAGCAGTGATACCAATGCATGTCCCGCAACAATTTTATTAAATACTTCTCAGAAAAGCAGAGTTAGCCAAAAGCAAAAATAAAATAAAGCAAAAGCACAAAATTCAAATATGTAAAAGGTACTGTACTGACATAATAGTAAGCAGGTGGAGCGCTCAACACAGTCTCCTTAGGAGAACAACAACAGCAGCAACCGCCCATCACGCCTTATCTCCAGCATCCAAAAGTAACTATTGCCACTGAGTGCATTATTTCACCTTCATCAGCATACACATGCAAAACCCCTTCAGATAATTAATAAACACGAGACCATGACACAAACACAAGCGCGAGAGTGAGGAATCCAGTTATCTCAAATTCACGATCTTGCGTGGAAATTACTCAACCTCGCCGAAAGATAGTAATAATACCTAACTTTCCGAAACACAATCTAATTCATCAAGACCAATTACCAATTTAAAAAGAAAAGAAAACAGTAAGCAAAACAATCAGAACAAGCCAGGATTAATTTGAAAGTTGAAAACAGAGATTAATAGAGAAGCGTAACGGATAAATCTCATGCGGAATTTCAACGAATTGAACTCAAAACAATCATCAAATATCAACAAATGAAAGAAGGAGGGGGAAAAGCGATAAATTAGGTACGAAAAAAGAAATACACAGTATATTGAATAGTTGAGCTGAAAAGCGAGGAAAGGAGAGGGTATGAGTAAGTGATGAGTAAGAAATCAGCAGAAGAAAGGATTGGAGATGGAGAAATGAACCTTGGGATTGAGAATTGAGAAATTGAAATTCAGCAACAGGAGAAGAAGACGAAGAAGAAGAAGAAACTGAGTGAGTAGTTGCTTTCGTTGGTATTTGACACGATGGTGTTTTGGTGTGTGTGCGAGTGCAGGGCGGGTTTACGTGTACGAGAAAAGAATTGCACGGAAAAATAGAAAATTCCTCCACTTACCCCTTCATTCGCTTTCCTCATTCTTCCTCGCATCTCAGCCCTTCGCTTCATCTGCTATCACTTAATCAAACACCTTAACTCAATCTTCTCTCCAATACACCATAAAGATGTCATAAATAAATAGAGAATATGTCATTTTATAATGGAGTAAGAGGACGAATTAATCGTATATAATGCGACAGGTAACAATAATATTATAAAAGTATTAAAATATAATTATGTTTCGAAGTTATTGACCATTAGTGATTTTGAGGTTATTAACCATTATATTATCTTATAAATAAATATAATTATCTTCAATTATTTATATACTATTAGTAATGTTATAATGTTATTAAAATATCTAATAAAAATAATTTTATTGCACAAGAAATTAACAATATAATATGAGATTAATCATCGCATGTTAACTTATACCATATATAGAATAGGATAAACTTTGTCTCATTATATGAGTAAATAAAGTGATTATATATTAATGTGACTCCAGAATTATAATTATATTATATGGACTCTTAATGATCAAAAATTAGTGTTGTTAGGTTTTTGTTTTTAGTCTTGCATGTTTAAACCTTTTTAACAACCGAATACACCAAACAAATTAATAATAAAAAAAAAAAACAACGTGACTAATCTTTTGGATGACTCATGAATTTTTTATATTCCTAAATATGTATAATTTATATTCATTTCACATATTTGACATTGATATTTTATACGTTCAAAAGTCTTATACGTGCAAATATTTACCTTTCAAAAGTTAAGAATGTTGAACAATTATTCAATATGAGTAAAGATAATTAAGATAATTAAGTCTAGTTATAGTCAAATATAACTGAGAGACTATTACCTAATTAGTAACTTCATAATATACTAGTTGTTATCGTATTAAATAAGTATCTTACTTGAATGTTAAAATATCTTTTATTGACATCTATTTAATGTCAAAAGAGAACTAATTTAGAAAGTAAAAAATAGTAAAGACATTGAAGAAGAAAAGTAGAAGGTATCTTCAAGTAAGAACAAATAGTATACAAAAGATTACAAATTCAAAATTTATTGTTATTTTTGTAATTTAAAGGATGAAAAAAATGACACTCATCTTCAACTAAACATGTGATTAATTATATTTTGTGCAAATATGATCAACTTTATTTCACAAATAACTAAAAATAAATGATCCAGTTATATATTATTTTATGTATGACTATTAATAACCACTTTTAAGATATACTTAATTATTGTTAAATATTTTATTAATTTTATGAAATTATTAATATTAAATATTTTAGTAATCTCATACAAATAAGTAAATAAAAATATAACAGATATAAGAGTGTATTATAACTTTTGAGAAAATATACTATGTACTAATAATGTAAAAAAAATTAAATTTTATATTGTCATTCAATAACAAAATATTAAGTATAATAAAATTATTAATTTATGTAATTTTAAATGACATATTAATAAAATTAATAAGATGGGCTTAATGATAAAAGTTGTTGTAATACATAAGTATAAATTTGAATTTTATTCCCTTCTTTATAATAATGACATAGTAATATTTTATATATAAACATTAGACACACTCGACTATCATGCTGGATGCCTTTATCATTAGTGGTGATCCCTTTATGAGAAATAGCTTTGCAAGTGATCCCTTTATCTGCAATGGGGGTTGTCCTTTGTGCTCAACCTTGTCGTTTCCAAACAAGGTGTTAATTTGCTGAATCAGACATGAGGCTGCAAGTTGTAAACTGATATATATTCTCTTCATATCCAATTCTAGTCATGTTATTGTTAGGTATGCAAATATCCTGGTAGTTTCCCCCGCACCCAAACGGTGGTTTTTTCTGTAAGCCATATGAGAAAATAATGTAAATATATAAACTACTATTTTTTATTAAAAAATATAAAATAAAAATTTGACCAATAGTTTAATCTATTCTATTCATGTAACTGTGGGCCAATATATATTTTCAAACGTTATCCATAGGCGAATATATTTCAAGTATTAACCTGCGAATTGATATATTTTTTTTTGTGTGTGGTCCCTTCCAGTTTTTAGTAGGCAGCGAATTGACTTACCAGTTTACTATTTTATTTTATTTTATTTTTATAATTCTTTCATTAGTATATAAACAATATCATAATAATATAAAAAGGTCAACTTAATTATTAGACAAGCAAGCTCTTTAATGAGCTAGATTTTTTTTATTATGCATAATTTTTAAAAAAAATATATTTAATACAAGTTATAAGTATTTATCAAAATTTATTTATTAATTTTTTATAGATAAATTATATTTTAAGTTTGTATTTAAACACATTTTTTATAGGATTTTTTTTTAATAAATAATTTCTACGCTTTTTTGTTGAAAGAAATTAGTTTTTTTTAATAATAATGTAAGAATATGTTTATATTTAAAATAATAGGTCTATTTATTTAAAGCTTTAAAAAAGTATTTTTAAATAAGTGTTTTTAGAAAAAATTAAGGAGTAAATTTCTTAAAAAAATGACTTATTCTATAAAAAAAATAGACCAACATATTAAAAAACAGAAATATACTTGTTTTATTAAAAAAAAACACTTTTATAATTTGTTTTAACCAAACAGATCCAATATTAAAAATAATACTCGCCCTGCTTATACATGACATTGTTGAGAAAGTCATCAAATAATGTAGGAATTCATCATAAAAGTATAACCGTTCATTTATAAATTAATAAACAATTGGGATTTATTACCGTTGTTTTATTTTGACAGCATTTATTACCATTAGTTAGTAAACCCAAAATTATAGAAAAATTTCTATCTGGTGGTAAGTGATACACTAATCATTCTTTTAAAAACAAATTTTAAACACTATAACTATTAAAATGAGTTATTCAGGAGCTAATTCAATATGGTTCACCTTTTAGTGAACTAGCAAAAAATGATTCTGATTCTGTTCATTATAGATCCATGAGTTAAATAAGTTGACTTATTTAATTTTTTTAAAATTTTTTTTTTTTAATACTTAGACAATTTTTTTAAAATATCTATTTTTAAAAATATTTGTCTAGCCAATTTTTTTTATAAAAAAATCTGCTTTTTTCTAATGTCTTAGCACATAATCTTTTTTTTTTTTTGTATTTCTTTTTTTTTTCTTCCACAAAAATAACTCCTTAACCATGTAAATAATCCTTTATGTGTGACATTTAATTGAATGAATGAGTGGACTATGGATTTTTATTTTCTTCTTTGTAAATGAGTTGTGAATTTTTATTTTTTGCATGAGTAGACTGTAGGTCTTTATATATTTTTTTTTTATGTAGTGGGCTGGTGAGCTAGCCCGACTCACCACGGGTTCAACTCGGGTGAGTCGGGTTCTTAGTAGGTAGAGTTGAATTTTTAACAATATTAGAATTTGCAAAGAATTTTTAGCCCAATCCAACTCATACTTATGATGGATTGGGTTAACTCACGGGTTATATATAATCCATTTTGATAACTCTACTAATCATTACGTATCTCATGAACTATTTCTTTAAAATTCTTTATGCATTGATAAAATATGTATATTAAAGTGTATTTATTTCGTGTCAATCTCCCTTTTCAAAACACCTTAAAATATTAATTTTATTATCACATATTATTGATGTTCGATGTGAATTTAAACAAAAACCAAATTTAAGTAACATGTATACTTAAAAAATAACATATAACTAATGTATTAAAGGTTATTAATTCTTATTATATATAGAGGAGTATAATGAAATATTGTAGGCACACTGAATTGATTTATGTAATAAAATTGTCTCATTCTTCTATAGTAATGTCTTGTTAATTATAAGTTATTTATGTAGAAATATTTAAATTTGTTATTAACATTAAACTATATATATTTTGGCATTATACTTTTTTTTAATACTTTTTGTTATGTCTAAAATAGTGTAATTATGAGTTTTAATTATGAGTTTTAATTACAACAAACAAGATATGAGATATGAGAATACATTTGTTGCATAAAGGTTAATATCTTTTGAGTATGTACATTTGATTGTATCATCTAACTAGAAAATTACTTGATGTGTCATGCAAGTTTTGTTTATCACACCCCTTCAAGCTTTGTTTTTTGTATAATTTGTTACATAAGAAAATTATCAACACTTCAAAGCATTTAATCATATAAGTCATTTGATTATCCAACAAGTTTGAAGGTCATTGTCTTATCTAATAAGAAGATAAATTCTAACGTAGGAGGATAAGTGGAACACATGTGAGGTATAAATTTGAAGTATGTAATTAAGTGATATATATATATATATACCATCATTTGTAACTGTTGGATATATATCATAATATTTCAATAGTTGAAATGTATTATCTTTATATTTAGAAATTTTAACCAAATTTACATTTTTGTCCTTGTATAGAGAAAAAATAACAAAGGAGACATGTATCTGGTGAGTGGTGACCGGGAAACTCTAAGGATATTGTTGGGATTCATCCCAAGTCTCACATCTGTAAAATGAAGGAACATTGACTAGTTTATAAGGGTGTCCACCATTCCATATAGTATGAGGCCTTTTGGGAAGGAGCCCAAAAACAAAACCGTGCGGAACTTGGTGCCTTGTGTCGAAAGTCTTCCTGATATTGTGGTGTTCAGGCGGCGTGTCCCGTAGAGTTAACGGCGGTACAAGATGGTGGCGGATTATCGCTTGAGGGGAGGAGGTCACGAGACATGTGGTCCTTGGTCTGAGGGGAGGTTTGTTGGGATTCATCCCAAGTCCCAAATCTGTAAAATGAAGGAACATTGGCTAGTTTATAAGGGTGTCCACCATTTTATATAGTATGAGGCCTTTTGGGAAGGAGCCCAAAAACAAAACCGTGCGGGCCTAGCCCAAAGCGGACAATATCATACTATGGTGGAGCAACAGGTGGACTATCGGGCCTAACAGA